TGCCCTCCAGCTTTGACCTCCCTCAGCCTAGGAAATCCAGGAAATCCCTACTTTAGTTACTGTGCAGGTCCTCTTGCAATGTTTAGAGGAAAGGAAAACTATTGACATCAGTCCCCTGGTTACCCAGTAGGGACTTTGCTGAGCAACTTGAAGGGGACACCATGGTTCTAGGAGTGAGCTGGTAGGCTGCACCCCTGAATCAACAGCAGGGATGCTGTACTACTGAGAGCTCATGCGTGCGGTCCTTCACCCAGATGCAGCAGCAGAGCTGGCAGAGTCCCGACAGATGGACACAGACCCCAAGGGAAGACATCGCCTTGTTCTCTTCCTTGTTTAGAAGAAATGAGCCATTAACAACCTCATCTCCTCGGTGTGAACTTTAAATAAGACGTTCCAGCTGAAGTTGGGTAAGGGAAGCTATTTTACTGTGACTGGGAAGAGAATAATTGTGTAGGATGTTTGCAACTGCTAAACAGCAGCTCTGGGAGCTAGCTCCATGCAAGTGAGGCAGACCAACAGGGAGAGCACCAGGGAGCCTAGCCAAAGGCAACTGCTTCACACAGGCCAATAGAGCTGGGCTTGGGCAGCCTGCACACCACTTCTAATGCATATCATGAGGACTGTCTGGGCTGGCCTTGAGGCTCTGAGCACCTGGAGGGGGCAGTTGGCATCCACAGTGAAGATGGGGACTTGTCATTGGTCTGCTCATTAAGCCAATCTTGCAGTGCATGTTTCGTTTGCCGGAAACTTCTCTGTCCGTAACAAATTCTGCACCAGTGCCTTTGGCATTTTAATGAACACATGGATCACCTGGGAATCTTATTAAAATGCGGATTCAAACCATTCTCTCTGCCTACTACCAATACATGGTGCTAGCCACGTTGGTCTTGCTGCCCTGTTGCTCTTGAGCTACACGATGCAACCTACCTTTGTGTTTGGGTCTCGGGTGTTTTGCTCCTGAGTGTAAACGTCAGCAAGTATTCATCAGTCACCAAAAAGATTATGGTGGGAATAAAAAGAAATAAATGCTGATGATTATCCACTTGTCCCCTCATGCCCAGTCCATCAGACCCACCATCTATTGTCTGTCCCTGCTCTGGGCCCCAGGAAGCTGTCCCCTAGGGAATGCAGACTCTTGTCTTCTGTTCCAGCCCGCCATCAATGGGAGGCACTGGCAGATGAATGGAAGCTCCCAGAAAGGAGAGACCAGTGAATTTTATCTTCTTAAGTTACTTTTTGGCAGTTCTGACCTTCCCGGTGCCAGTTCTAACTGGCTCTGGTAACAAGGTGCCTTCCCCTGCCTGTTCATGAGGCCTTGAGGTGTTAACAACTTCCCACCATTGCTAGTCTCTGGGTGTCATGATGTCCCTTGTTTCCATGATCTAATGGATCCACTGAATGATTCTCCTCCTGTTCCATGGCCTAAACCCAAAACGGTTTTCCTAGAAGAAGAAAAACAGTAGAAATAATGAAACCATGTAGAACTGTCATGCCAGATGGAGGATTCCCAAAGGGGCAAAGGGTGCTCCTAGGGAAAAGGCCGTGCCCACCCATTCCACGGGCAGCAGTCAGTGCCAGAGGGGGTCAAGCAGGGCGATGGAAGAGAAGGAGGCATGTTGCTGGAATAGAGGCCCGTTACCCCAACATGGATTCAGGAGCTGGTCAGGACTCGAGAGAAGTTAAAGGCTAAGTGGGTCAAAGTGCTGGCCTGACACCTTTATCACCAGCCCTGGACAGACAGATGTACAGGTTCACAACCAGAGATCCTCAGGGGCTCTCCACAGCTTGTTTGGCATGCCTGGCCTCATTTTCGAAATGCTGATTTTTTTAAAAGTTGATGTTGAGATATGAAAATAGGAAAAAGAGAAGAAGGTACCTCGTCTCATAGTCTGGAAGGACTTGAGGGGTGGGATGTCTTCTGAGGATGTCTTCCATTCTCAGTTACTTGGGGGCTGAGAACAGAGAGAACTGCCACCACCCTTGGCTTTCCCGCTCTGACTTAGGTTTGGGGGTGCAGGGACCTGGAATGAGGTGCTCTTCTCTGGCTTCTGTGGGAAAGCTTTAATAAAGGTTTCACCCCTAATGCATTCTTAGTAATGTGCTAAGACATGACACCTTCTGTGATTATTCATATGCAACGGGAGATAGGCCCTGCCTAGGAATCTTGCCTTGGAAAGTAGGAGTGAAGGAACATATTTCTTTTCATTCTGTTCCTAATTGTGACCTTATTTGGCTCTCAAAAAAAAAAAAAAAAAAAGGCTGCTAGAATTTTTTTTTTTTTTTAAGGCAAGTTCCAGGATTAAACATATTCACATCAGAAAGCTCCATGGCACACAGACGGAGAAGACAGAAAGTCTTGGGTCACATTTCATTTAAAAATGGCTATTCTGTTTCCGGAGAGAGAGAACAAACGAGGAAATCACTGTGGGAGTGTGGGGGCTGGGGAGGCACGTGCCCACAAACCAGGCGCAGACCATCTGGCTCCATTAGTATAGCTGTACCCTCTGAACTGCACCCCGTGGACGGAGACACAGCTGCCCGGGCTGATGCGTAGGCCTCTCCAGATCCTTCCGATCCCTAGATGCCCAAGGCTTTCTACATGACCTCGGAGGCCATAACAGTAAAGTTAAAATGTGCCTTGTTAATTTACTCCCATCTGTTCTAAGTCCTTCCAACTGAGGATATAGGGATTGAGACATGAGGCAGGGGGTCCCTGCCTGGTGGGTGTCCTTGGTGACACAAAAAGAAGAGCCCCAAGTAAGACCTCTGCTGTCACCCACCCTTCATGCTAATATAGAGGGAAAAAAAATAGGCAGTGGTAAAACCTAGCCTCTCCGCCTGCAGTCCTTGGAGCCTCAGCCTGGCTCTCACAGGGGACCTTCCTGCAAATACAAACTCTCAGGCACCCCCCACCCAGACCCAAGGAAGCAGAATCTACATTTGAATGAGGTCCCCAGTTGATTTTTTTCTGTGCATGCTAAAATTTGAGAAACATTAGCATAGAACCATGACCCTATCCCAGGAGTGATTCTGCCCCTACAGGGGACACTTGTCAATCAATGTCTAGAGACATTTCTGGTTGTTGTAAATGGAGACCCGGGAGGTGGAGGATGAGAGGTCAGAGATCCTGCTAACCATCTGACAACCCACAAGAGCAGCCCCCCCCCACCAAAGTCCAAAATGCCCAAAGCTGAGGTCAAGAAACCCTCAGAATAGAAGGTTCTATTAGAAAGAGGAAGACTCTGCTGAGATCTGTTCCTGTCCCTTGTTTTCCTCACGATTCAATTGAAATTATTATTGAAACATGAATTTCTGCAATATGCCTAGGAAAATGCTAGAAACAGATGTCTTCTTCCAGCATTTAGTCCCAGAAGGCAGGAATGGTGTCTTCCATTTCAGAGCAAAAATCTAAATTATGAACAGATAAATGATCTTTCTTCCATTCCTCATTGATCCCAGTGCCCTGTGTAAACACCCATTCTGATGGAGGGTCCCTGGGGCTGTGGGTGGACCTATCACCACGTGGGTTTCCCTGCAGCTAGAAGGAAATTTGCTCAGTTTATGTATCGCTCCAATCCAAGCACTTGCCTTACTTGTTGGTTGGCGTGATCAACAACAGGTTAAGTTGTGAAGCCAGTTTTTTGTCACTTGGTGCTAAGGACCCCATTTAGGATCAGCTTATGGAAGAACTGAACCAAGATCCTTACCAGATGTCTAATCAGTTCATCATCTTTAAATTGTTTTTTTTTTCTTTTCTGAAACTTTTGTCTTCAATTGACACATAATTAATTATATATATTTATAAAGTACAGTGTCATGTTTTAATGACGTTTTGATGCAGGTACAAAATGCACAACATTTAAATCAGGGTACCAATCATAACCATCACTTCAAACATTTATCATTTATTTTTGGTGAGAACATTTGACATTCTCTCTTCTGGTATAAACTATATTAATTAGAAATATACAAACTATATTAATTACTATATTAACTCTATCTGCATTATATTATATTAACTAGAGTCACCCTATAGTAAAATAGACCAGTAGAACTTGTTCCTCCTACCTACCTATAACTATGTATCCACTCACCAAAACTCTCCTCAAACATTTATCATTCACTTATCATTTATTTTGACATCCTCTCTCCTTCTATCTAACTCTCCTTCTATCCCTGCGCCACCCATCACAGTCTCTGGTAACACTATCTCTGAGAATGGCCTGGGCAACCTTTTTAGCTATAAACCTGGGATTGTCACTCCCTTGCTCAAAATTACTTACAAGGTTAACCACTAACCAAAGGATCAACACTAAACTCTTTGGTAAAACATCGAATATTATCCTGCCTTTATCTCCCCTCATGTTTGCCTTTGAATATCCAAATACCAAATCACATGAAGTTCTCTAAAGATGGTTTTCTTGAGTGCTTCTACATAATGTTCCATGCTTTTCCTTTTCCCTAGGATACCCAGTCCCCGGAGCACTGGCTCAGTAAAATTCTACTCATCTTTCAAGTTTCAATTCAAGCATCTCCTTCCCTCCACTGTGCATCCTACCCAGATTCTTCCTACAAATACGATTCTGCTGCTTCTGTAATTTCCTAAGTATGTCTTCATTATGAGCGGTGATCAAAGTCCCTGACAACTGTCTGTTTGCACAGCTCTCTTTCAATTATAAGATTCAAGAGGACAAGAACTATGCTTTTTCTTTGTTTCATCTCCATCACCTGGCACAGGGTCTAACACCTATTAGTAGCTCAAGGGATGTCTGTTGAATGAGGACAGCATTTTAGGAAGATGGGCACACCATCTGGAAGAGGGGGATCAAAGGGGTTACAGAGCAAAGTCACACTGAGAAGTATTTAGTGCAAGGTATGAAGGATGGCCCATAAGTTTTCAAACCTAGGATGGCAGTACTCTTGGCAATGGAGACAGAAGTGAGACAGAAAGAGACACAGGTTTAAGGTGAAAGGTAATTTCAACCTTTTGGTGAGATATATGTACAGAGATCTTTATCAAGAAGTTGGAAGTACAAGCACTGGGCAGGGTCCGAAAATCAGAGCTTATAAAGTAGATTTGAGAAGGACCTGCCTAGAGGTCAAAGTGAGACCCATGAGCATAGAATATATAAATAAAGGGCAGAGGAGAGAGGAAGCACAGGTAAACATTGAAGAAAAGAACCTTTGTGGAATATGCAATTTTAGATGGTGGGATAAAGAAAAGAAATCCCGTGGAGGGAAGGGATCTATTGGAAAGGTCGGCATAAGATGGAGACAGTGTTAATATTGGGAAATCAAAGGAGGGGGGAAAAACTCAACAATAGGAAGATGGTTCATAGCCCCAAATACCAAAGAACAAATAGATGAAAGATTAGGAAAAAAAATCATTGAGTTTGGTAATTAGATGTTCACTAGTGTTCAAAAGCTGAGTTATTTAAGGAACAGAAATATTGTGTTAATGACTTCGAGAAGACTGCAGGATAGGGAAAATGGGTGTTTTGATCTACTGCGGACTATTCGAGTTTGAGCTTTTAGCAGTGAAGCAGCTCTTGCTGTTGATAACAGTCACGGCATAGCTGTGGGTGAGGTGGGGAAACTGAATGATGAAAAGACCAGATCATGATATTCCAGAGATACAGGCAAAGAAGAACCACCTGTCTGGAACTGAGCTTAATGAATGATTGGGTACGCCTGTTCAGGTAGGACCAGAATATCAGGGTGCCCTGCCGCAGGTCAGAACCATGGCTCCTTCAGCCTCTTTCTCCTTTGCCTTTCCTTTTATTTTCCCCTTAAGTTGGGGATGGAACCCAGGACCTCATGCATGTTGTGCATGTGCTATACCACTGAGCTACATTGCCAGCTCCCCTACAATCCTCCCCCAACTAACTCTTTAAGGAGACAATCAGTTCCATGTATTTCCACGCTCTCCATCCATATTGGCATTTGGAGTTGCGGACAGTTCTCATTTATGGGATCCACCCATGCTGATGGTCTTCAAATTATGATCATGACCTAGCCTAACCCTTGTCTTTGCCAAATGGAAGGGCCACCTTGTTTGATTGTTTTCACATGGCAGTTCTTAGCTTCCATCCCAACCATTACTTTTTTGATGCACCTTTAAAGTTATGTCATTTTCTTGACATGTTATAACCAAAGCCAGGTGAATAGTAGACATAAATAGGGGAGGACGTTATTTTCTGTTTTTTCGTAGGCCACCCATTACCATGTTGGGAAGCAAAAGAAATGATGTGTTACATAAGCCAAAGATGTCTTCATTTTCCTTTTCGTCCTTTTTGGGTTGTGAAGTTATCCATTGATATCTATTAACAGAAGGCCCAGGACCTCGTCCCTGAGTCTATGTGATGTCCTCCATTTCTGTTCACACTGACTCTCCAGAGGTTTTGCTTTTTTTTTTTTTTTGCCTGTTTCAAATATATTAAATGCAACTTTTAATCTGAATAATCACTCTTTAAACAAACAAACAAAAAAACCCCACCTTCTATCTTTTCTTCCTTCCCACCAGTTATCACATATTGAAGATAGTTGAAGCTGACTAGAATTCTGCAGCCTTTTGGAAAGCATTGGATCTTTGTAAACCAAGCCGCAGCCCTTAGCACTAAGACTTGTCTCCTCAGGCTGCTCAGCTACAGGACTCAACAGCCCAGGAAGGCACAGTGACTGGCATTTAGAGTTTCCTTCAAAGTGTTGACCCATAAAATCCATACCAGAAATAACTTCTATTGTTACTATGGAGGTGGGGGACAAAAACCTACTCAAAGGATCTTGTGCAAACCAAGTGTGCACATGCACACACAAACACACACACACACACATACCATACAACACACACCTGCTGAGTGATTCCTGTATGGGTATATTTACTCTGAAATCAACTCTAAAAATCATGGAATTGGGGAAGTGTAACCTCAGAGGCTGTGATCTGAGTCACAGGCTGATCAATATTTTTTTTTTCTAATCTGGGATGAAAATTGCACTTCGAATACATTAATAGAGGCCCCGAAGGTGACCAGGTACCATACTGTTCTGTTGATGATGCATGATGGGTAGAAACAGAGAGTGACATGGTAAATGTATGGGGTGCTAGCTCTGGTCAAATGGCCTGCCCAAGTTTTATACTTCTTTGCAAGGTTTTATACTTCTTTGCAAGGCACAAGTATATGCATCTAACTGACAGTGTGTTTCCCCAGTGGCATAAAATTAAGCTAAAGGAGGCCAGGCTCCATGTGGTCTTCAGCATGTCTGGTACCTGATGCAACCGGATGCAGAGCCCTTTCCTTTCTAAACCCCCTAAGTCTGCAAGAGCTAACACTATGATTTTTTTTTACTTTATTTTTAATTTTTATACAGTACTAGGGATGGAACCCAGGGCCTCGTGCATGCCAGGCAAGCACTCTACCGCTGAACTACACACCCCCGGCCCCTGTGCACCTGTTTTCTTGTACTAGAGAAAGCAGAGCCAGAAGAGCAGGAGGAGCCAAGGGAAGGCCAAGTTCCAGGATTCCAGTTCTGATATTTGTTTCTATGTTTGTTCAACTCTTTTCATCAGTGTGAAGAATAAGTTCCTCACAAGATAATTATGTGGTTTGGAAATGAGCAATCTTGATACAAACATGAAACATATATTCTATTTTACTACTTAGGATTGTGAGTGTTAAAATATACAGATTGGGTAGACTGCTAAATATAGGCTGGAAAGGAACTTGTTTCTTTAAAAGGAAAAGAAAGGGGAAGGGGAATAAAAAAGGAAGAAAAACTTGGTCAGACACGGCTAAGGATCAACAAAATAAGAGAGATAAAATTTCACTCACCAATTCAGACCCAGAGTGAGGAGACCCGCTGGGATCCCAGAATATTTGAAAAGAAATCATGATTACGTAATTATTTAGTTTAAATTATTGTGTTAAATAATTTTCTGATTATTTTCAACACAGAGGGTGACAAGTGGCATTAACTAACCAAGAATTATCAAGTAGATCTTTGAGGCCTGCTACAATAAGAGGCAAAAAGAATTTCAAGTAGGTATATTCAAGATTTGTAAGTATGTGGCTACTTTTCTGTTCTTGAGGATCATTTATGATTTGTGTGTGTGTGTGTGTGTGTGTGTGTGTGTGTGTGTGTCTAATGCTGGGGATTCAATCTGGGACTTTATGCATGGTAGGCAAATGCTCAACCACTGAGCTATATCCCCAGCCCTTTTCAATCTTTTATTTTTATTTTGAGACATAATCTTGCTATAGTAGCCCAAGTTGGCCTCAAATTTGTGATCCTCCTGCTTCAGCCTCTGGAGTCGCTGTAATTATAGGTGGAAACCAGATGAGAATTGTTTATGTTCCTAAGGAGATAGAATAATCTCATCCTTGTTTATGTAAACAAATAACACACGAATTCCTTTTTGGTCCCCCAAATAAAGCAAAGATAAGCTTGAGTCTAAATCCCGACCAGACCTTTACAAATTTCAAAGCAACAGGGCCCAATTAAATGCTGTTTTACCATATGTACTCAACATGTGGAGGAAAGGGGGGGGGCTCATTAATTCAGCCAGGACACATTTCTGATGGGGCTATTATGCTTTACAGAGCCACTATATTCTATAAACAAAATACAATTTTATATCTTGTTATGGATCACCAATTAGTTCTGCTAGTCCAAAAAAAAAAAAAATCCTGTTTACTCTCAGAACTTAGCTCTGTTTTGCTTTTTTTTATATCCCCATGGACCTTTCTTTCTAGGTCAAGTCGGTTCATGAAAGAGGAGTAGAATCAATGATATGGGCCAAATCCCAAGAGCACCATGCCAAGTGTAGTACTGAGCGTCCTCTGCTGTCACCCAGTCAGGGCTCCCTGAGGAAAAAGGGTGTTCTCTTTCCCCCAAAGGCGCAGCAGCCCTGTTTGACATCTCCTTCTGTGTTTCCTGTTATGTTCTCCCTTCAAGCTCCTACCCCATGCTGCTTTGGTTTTCTTCATCATCTTCTAATCCTCTTTCTCCTTTGGAAAGAGAAAAAAAAAAAAAAAAGGAGAGTTCTGGCTTGCAAATGACTTTCAGTTTGACCTTGGGCAAATGACTTAACCCTTCGGAGCTACTGTTTCCCTCAACGGGGAGATGGACATACTGAGATCTATCTCCTAAAGTTGCTGGAAGCAGTACTAAGGCAAAGCAGGTGAAATATGGAGACTCTATAAGTCCTGGGCCCTGTTAGGTTGTCTACCAGAGGTATATTTGAAAATGTTTTCTGTAGAGTTACCAAATGACTGATGACAGAGGAACCCTGTGGCCAGAGTGGTGCTCAGCCAGGTGATCCACTCTGTTGACCAACTCTGGCCTCTCTCTGTCCTCCTGGCTCTTCTTGGACTTCTGTGACTGCTCCTACATTTCCACTGTGCTTTGTTCCTTTCTCTTAATAATGCAGATAGCCTCCAAGGTTCAGCCTCTCCAGGAACTTCATTTTTTTTTTCCTCCTCAAAAGATGAAACCCAATCTCTTAATTCTAGCTCCAATAAATACCTCCATGCTCAGGTAAATTTCTATCTTCTCCTTTCCAGAGAACATCAGTACCTGGAAGATGGGTCCTTCCCAACTCCGCAGGCTCCTCATCAGGCATCTTGGATTGTTTATAACAGCCCCAAAGTGAGAACAACGCCAATATCCATCAAGTGAAGAATGAATAGAAAAAGTGTGGTGTATCTGTACAATGGAATATTATTCCACTGTTTAAGAGCATGAAGTTCAAATGCTTGCGGTAACCAATGAACTTTGGCAATATTGTGCTAAGTGAAGGAAAGTAGTCACAGCAGACCAGAAATTGCATGAATTTATTTCTATAAAATATCCAGCAAAGGCAAATGTATAAAAAGAAAAATCAATCCATGGCTGAAGGCAGGAGGTAAAGGAGATCTGGGAGGAGGGTAGGGAAGGATGGCTAACAGGAATGAGGTTCTTTGGGGAGTGATAAAATGTTCTGTTATTAACAGCAGGACAGTTGCAAAACTCTGTAAATATACTAAAAACTAATGAGTTACACTCTTTAAATGGGTGAATTGTATGCCATATGAATTATATCTTGATAAAGCTGTTTAAAAGATCTATCAGGTACACTATTTAACTGACACATCAAGTCTGCAGAGTCAAATTCAGCATCCACTGCAAGAGGGATGTGATGAAGGATGATGTTGGTGATGGTAGACAGAGTGACAGTGGAACTGGGGACACTATTCGGTGACACTATGGGCATGGCTGTTAGAATCCTACCTCACTCCATCCAATCTTCATCACGTGAGGTTCATGATGGGTACATGGGGAGAAGGTGCCACATTGTCAGCTGAAACCCCATTTTGGAATACTTATGTAGCTGAGCTGTGACGGACACATGCTGAGCCCAGTCGTTCTCCAACCGTGGATCCCAGAACAGCAAGAACTACTTAGAAATGCAAATTTTCAGGTTCCCCAAGATTTAAGAAATCTGAAACTCTGGATGCATCCAGTGATGAATGTTTTAATATTCCCTTCAGAGGATTCTGATGCAAGGTCAAGTTCAAGAGCCATTGCTTTAGCCTAAAGCCTAAGGGACCTAAGGTCAGACTCAAGTCTCAAGATCTCACATCCACCTGGCCATGTCCCTGGTACAGGAAGACAAAAGCAAGGCTATTTCAGTGTCAGTGTAGCCATCACCTTGGAAGATCCATCTCAGATCCTTCTGACCTTCACTTTGGCTTTGGCCATTACCATTTTGGCTGTTGGCTGCACATGGGTATACCTGGAGAGTTAGCTGAACCTGTTATCTCTTGCTTTCTGCCCTGGGGCTTTTTCACTCTGCTGTGGGAGCCTTCTCCACCAATCCATCACACACCTAAATCTCAGGTGAGGGGATTGAACCACCTCCAACCAAAAGGGTGTGGGACAGAGGGGACTGAATGTTCTCCAGTTCAAGAATCACTGACCCTTGTGAACATGGGCTACTAAATGCCCCAGGATTGGACCAATCATTGGACCAATCATATCAGCTTTCCTCCTGTAAGAGAGGACCCAGGAAACTGATGGGGACATTTATCCTAGGTGGGGAAGGGGAGCTCAGAGTCCCCAGCTCCCTCCTCCACATGACAATGATGGGATGACGCATGATTTTCAGATATTACCCTAAAAATTAATTGTTTCAGAACTAAAATCACATACAAGATATAGGGGGGAGTGGTAGGAGGGAGGTAGAGAGAGAGAAAGGGAGGGAGAGAAGAGGAATGAATTGGAACGAAGGTCAGGAGTTCCAGCTGTGTCCCCCCAGGTTTTCCAGTTCCTAAAGTCAATTCATATGATTTCTGGCTTGTGCTGTAATACAGTTCTAGGTTTGAGCAGTTCAGTCTCCTGGTCTGTAAAATGAGAGGTTTGGGACACAAGCTCTGGAAGTCTTCCCCAGCCCCCAGCTATCCCTAATTCTGTACCTGAAGAGGTGTGTAATTAACACAGCTTGAAAAATCCACAGGAAGTGGGTAAGGGTATTCTCAGAGTCTACCTCTGACGACCAGTCAACAAACTGAACTTTGTCAGATGAGGGCCTGTGTTGTCCGTGGTCAGTGATATCCACCTGTGCACAGAATCACCTTCACAAGAACGTGTGTAATGAATGTGTCTTTTCCCAGGCGGAAAAAATAATAATAATAATAATAAAATAACAAGCACAGCTGTCTTACACTCCAGGAGGAATTGAGTTTCTTTTGGGGTAACCTCATACTATAACCACTCCTAGAATTTTTGTCATTGATCTGTTGATGGAAAATGAGGTTTTGGACACTCCTAGGTGCTCTGGTGAGCTTCTTTCTCCTCTGTATTTATCCTTTTATCATTTGGGGCCTTTTTCTGGGAGCTCAGGAAATCCCTTCACTCAGCCTGGCTCTCCTGAACTGCTGGGAGAGACACCGTATGCAGGCATCTAATTTGGGGTTCCTTACTTTCTCTGTGCCTCTCCAGCGACCCTGCTTGGGCTTGGCGCTTTGCATCTGCCTGGCTGCAGCCCAAACTTCTGTCATCTCTTTCCATTCTTCTCCCCTCTGCCTGCCACCTCCCCTCAGGTCCTCTGTCTCTTCATGATGGATGGTCCCTCCTTCTCCCCTGCTAGTGACTGCTCCTCCCACAGGATTGTGATTTTGAGTAATTTAATATTTATGTGGCTTAGGGCTATAGCACTCTGGATCTCATTTTTTTTTTTTTGGTAGTTGTTGGACACCTCTACCTCTCTGGGTCTGGGGGGTGGCTACAGGACCTCTGGGGGCTCTTGGGTCTGCAAGGAAAAAGCCAAGTGGACAGGGCTTATCCCTCATAACCCCTCTCCGCTTCTGTGTGGATATTAGTGAGGTCATTTAAGAAGCTGGATGAAAATGTAGCCAGATAGGAGAGAATGATGATGCAGACTGACCCCTGGGAGACCCCATGGAGGGTGGGAGAGGAACAGAGAGGTTGGGCTGTGGGAGTCCCCATCTCTGGGGTACCTTCCATCTCTTTCCCACTACAAAGGCTGGCTCAGCAGCCTCTACCCTGAAAGGAGTGGGGGACCCCACTGCCTGATGCCCATGTTTGCTTTCTTGTCCTTGTCTCCTCCCAGGAAACTGCCCAAGGTGTAACACAGGCCTCTGAGGCAGGGGACGTGGACAGTGGAAGGTACATAGCCCACCTCTGTGACTTCAGGGACAACCACTTAGAACCAGACCAACAGATGAAAACCAGCCTCATCTGTCTTTAGGTGTGGGCCATCATCCTGCCCTGTCCCTTGAATCCACCTGGGGTGGTTCTCACCTTGTCATTATAGTTAGGTTGTGGGCTCTCCGAAAGCTGCCCTTCATACCCGTTTTCCCTTAATTTTAGATCCAGAAGGTGCAGAGAGCCCATGACAACCACTCCGAGAGGGAGCCCTCAAGTTCATGTTAAAAGGAGACACTGTATCATTAATCCATACCTAAATGCAAGGCCTTCCTCAGGATGATGGGTTATAAGTAAGATCACCAAGTGTGTCCTATGGGCAAAGGCACAGGTCACAGAACAGGGGAGAAATCTGAGCCTGGCCTTAGTGGAGGGTGGTGGGTAGGAGGAGCACAGCTGGGCCCGTGGGTGAGGGTTCAAAGAGCAGCTTCACCTGAGCAGGTTACTTAACTTCCCTGTGTCTCTGTTTTCTCATTTATGAAATGGGTGCAGTGGCAGCTGTTCTGAGAATGAAAAGAGTCAAGAAGCACAGGTCCAGTCATGCTTGCGGGCTTCATTATCCACATTATCATTACTGCTATTGCCACAGCACCAGGAACGGAGGACTACAGGCCTGAGACACTTGGCTCTGGGCTCTTTGAAAGACATGCCTGTCCCTGTTGCTAATATCTGGCTCAGATAATATCTCTGCCAGAGCTCTGACCAACAGAAGCCTCCTTCAGAAGCTGCAGTGGGACTGCTGCCCACACTCACCCATTATCATCCACGTGAGAGACTTGAAAAGAATCTTGGGACTTCAAAAGAATCTTAGGACAGCTACATGCCACATGCATTCCTTTCTGGGGACAGGTTCGGACGTAGCTCACTAGGCCTCTCCTGCCACAGGTCACTGCATGGTGTCTGAGATTCTAGTTCAGAGTCCCAACAACACCATCTGCAATCCCTGCCTTGTTAGGTGGCCCTCATGTAGCTGGGGTATCATTTCTTTGGAGTGGAAATCATATTGCTGAGCTGTCAATATAATCTAGCTGGATCCTTCCTGGGCTAGACTATCTGGAAGTCGATCACCAATAATTCTTATTCCTACACATGCCAGGGGCTACTCTATCAGGAAGTGGAGTCTGTTTCCCTTCCGCATGAACCTGGGCCTGCCCTGCAGCTTGCTTTGTCTGACAGAGGGAGACAGAAGCAATGCTGTGGCGAGTCTGTTGGGACACTTAGGAAGTCGAGACTGGATGACTGAAATCCAGTCTCAGAGAGCACCGGAGAAGGACACCCAGTGTCTTTCCAGGGCTTAGATGACCTCAGCCTCCAAATAGCCCACCCACTGAATGGAACCATAGGGATAGGCTCATCCAGTCACCCCTCAGAACTGCCCGAGATAAGGAAGTGTTGTTTAACTTCCCTAAGTTTTGGGGTGGTCTTTTACGCAGCAAGGAAGAGGACTAACGAACTTCTCAAATCCCCTGTAGTCAGTGCACCGTGCTCAGGTTTACCCGGCATGCTGATATGATCACGGAGAATTCAGTTCTAAGCTTCAAATGGCGGAGGGAACAATCCGCAGGAAGGTAAAACACAGGTACCTCGTGTCCTTACTTAATTAGCTTGACACAATTAGACTAGTAATTAGCTTTTCACAGGTTGTCCCTTTGATTCTCTCCTGGGTCATCTCCTTCACTATCAGTTCTTCCACTTCTCTGGCAAGCCCTTCCCTTCCTTGTATCTGAGCTCCAACGTGAGTGTCTTTCTCCACTCCCTTAACCTCAAAAGCCTCTGAGCCTGGATCTCAGTCCACATGACCAGGTCAGAGCTGCTTACTCTCTAAGGCTACCAAACACCAAAAAAGGACATTTCCTCCTGAAGTTTCCACTGGAAGAAATCCTCTGGCCTCCCCTCACTTCTACTTGGATGCTTCATCTTTTCTGTCAGTCATACTCTGCTGTGATATAGGAGAAAATAGGGAAGGAGGAGAGTTGTAGAGATCTGCTTATTTCCACAGTTATTGTTCAATATATTATTATTATTATGCACATGTTTGGAAATCAAAGTCTAAAAAATTTAGAGGGGTGGTGGGGCTTAACCCTCACAATTTCTATCGTTTGGTGATTAAAACAAATACTTGCTATTTTATTATCTCAAATTTTAAAGTTCAGATTTAATTTTAATGAAAACACTTTGATTATGATATATATCCTAATTTTAATTTGCTTAGTTCATTGAGCATATTTTGGGCATATCTTCAAGTCAACAAATACACATGAACAACATCGTATTTAATGGGCCAGGGGCAATTTAGTAGTCTAGTGATTTTCTACTATAGAGATGTACCACATACATTCGATTTTTTTTTTGATTTATTTGTTTCAGTGAATCTTATATTGTAGTGCATATAAATTTCTCTTGGTTTTCAATATGTTAAACAATGTCATAGGTAACATAAATATGTATGTTGGTAGTTTCATATGCATCATTCGATTAATTCAATAATCCCCTGTCATTGTACATTTAGGTTCTTCTTCGTTTTTCCATAATTTAAGTAACACAGCATCTTTTTAACATAGGTTTTCACATTCAGTGGTAATTTTTTAAGGGAGCAAGATTAGCATAGTCAGTGAACTTCAAAATCACTTTCAATCATGAATCACAGGATAACCATTGTATAAACTACCCTTTGTTAAAAGCTTTCTGGTATTAAAGGGACTTACTTGGCAGCATGTGGCTCTAGAATACAGACTTTAGAATGCTTTTCCTCTGGTAATTGCTCCCTGGCCAGTCACATTGCAGTGAGAGCCCAAACTGCTATGTGACTAGGTGTGGGGCTAGGGATGAGGACTGTCCCACATCCTCCTCAGCACATGGATGCCAAGTCTCCATTGTAGCCTGTGTGAAGCTGCTGAATGTATCTGTGTATGCTTCACCCAACTGCTAGGGACCTCACTACCTCATCAGATGTCAAGTGGTACACATTCTCCCTCAGCAGGATATCTTAGTAAATTGATCCAAACTACTTCCTGGCACCAAGCTTCTTAGACTGTTGAGAGCCATAGCCGAAGGAGCCCCAGCAAACTTCCAGCTAATTGGCTGGCCGTGGCCCCAGCAAACTTCCAGCTGCCAGCTGATTGGCTCCTCTACAGTGATGCTCATTGGGCTGTTTCCCTGCCCTTTCAGACCACGGAGCTGCTCATTGGGGGACTCTTTTGACTCCGCCCACACGACCCAGCCAATTGGCCTCAAGAGTGGGAGGAGTGGGGGTAGAGAGGTTCAGGAAGCAGGTGGTGGCAGTTGGGCTCTGAGGGAACTCCTGAAGAGCCCTTGTGGTGTGGAGTGTGTGTTCTAAAAATACAGTTCCTTGGTGCTTGATAAGTGGCTTGTGAATTGTGCCCAGCCAGGCTGTGGCATTAGACTATCATAATGGTTCCCCCATTGACACCTGTGTTCTCAATCACTCATCTTCCAAGACCTCTTAAAACTCAGAGTTTACTCCCTCCCTGCTCAATTGACAGCAAGTGACAAGTAAATGTGCTTTCTATTCTAGGCGTTCCTGTTGAATGCATGAATGAATAAGTAAACATTGAACCAACAACATTCTATGAGAGGTAGTTTGCTAGGTGCTCACAGATGATGCAGGTTTAGCTCCTTGTCCTTCAGAGATTCCAATTGGGTAAGGAACACAGCAAACAAGAAGTCAGAGAGCAGTATGATATGGTTTTTAGAGCCAAGTAGAAAGGCCATGAGAAGGATTCCAGAGTTACCTAATTATACTTCCTCAAGCAAAGTTATCCTGGGACAGATAATCCATGAGCTGATTCTCAAAGAAAAAGATCTAACCTTTCAGAGGGCAAAGGGAGTCAATGTATCCGCCTCTGTGCCTATATCGCGAAGTCACATTTTCCAAGAATTCTTGTTAGCTGATGGTAATGATCCCCCACATCACATTCAGCCACTGGGCCTTGCTTTCGGCACAGTGATGGATGGTTCTGTGCAAGTTGACAGACTCC